TTCTCCACCACGAATTAAATTTTTTTTATAGGTCACAATTTGAAAAAATCCAAATTTCTACTGGTCACATCTCTATTTCAGTGAGTCACAGTCACAAGTTCTAGGTCACAGATATCCACCCCTCACTTAACACATCTCATCCCACCCTCGACCGCCGCCACGACCACCCTCACAGCCACAGCCACAAACCAGCAACAAAATTGCCATCGCCAAATCATCTACAGGCATGCTTCAGCACCACCATCCCCAGCACCTCAATAACAACACCACTACCACCTGCATAATCCATCCACAACCCCATCCCAAATCATTACACAACCACCGCACCAGCACTGCCTCCAACGCCGCCGCCACCACCCAAATCACACCACAAAATCGCCACCACAACGCAACCACCACCAAAAAATGGAATCGAAAAATATCAAACCCATAGATCCGCCATAGCAAAACTCAAAAACTAAAAAAAAACCAGATGAAAATAACAGATCTGCGTCGTTGCGCTTCGAGCGTCGGAGAGAAGACAACCCAACCACTTCCGATGTCGCTTCAAGATCGAGACACATGTATTCTTCGATCACCGACGCCGCTTCAGATTTGATGTGGATTGTAGGGCACGCATGAAGTCGCCAGTACCTGCTAATTGACAATACTGACCACCCCCCGCTTCAAATTTGCTGTGGAAGAATAGTCCTCGTCGGCGGTGGCGACAGCGAGAAAGGGAATAGATCTGTAGTGAATTAACACTGAATGAACTCAGAATTGAAATGGAAAGGGTTTATATTTATACTCACGTGTAGATTTTTGGAAGTAATGCCGGTGCCTTGATTTTTGGACAGAAATGCAGATTGCTACGGCGATTTCGATGGCGACGAGACCATGAGCTGGCTGGCGATTTGAGGGAGAAGAGAGGTGGTGGTGGTGGTCGGTTGGAATGAGAAAAGGTAGAGAGAGGGAGAAGGAGGGGGGAATGAAAAAATTAGGGTTTGATTTTGTGTATTATTGATTTAAATAAAAATAATTTAAAAATTATTAATTAAAACCTGATTTATGTATTATTAAAGTTGATTCTGTATTTTTGAAAATGGTAACTTAAAAACCTTTGTGGGTGTAATTTCCTCATTAAAAAATCGGACAGAACCGATTATTNTATTAAAGTTGATTCTGTATTTTTGGAAATGATAACTTAAAAATCTTTGTGGGTGTAATTTCCTTTCAACTTAATATGGCTCAATTGTAAAAGTGGATCGTCATTTGATGTGTTCTCTTTAAAATGCTTAAATTTACGATCGAAGATAGTAAATGACTTGACTTAACGAGCAAAGGATAGATGAAATTATAGTATAACTCAACAAAATAATTAGCGGGTCGGACCTGTCAAATGAAAAGAAAAGAAAATTTGTTTGTCACCTCTCAACATCACGTTGAATGAATTTTTGACCATAATTAAGAGGTCATCGGATACCAATAATTGCCGCTCACAAAGGCTGTATCAATTTGTTATTGGGAAAATTATGGTCACGGTACTAAATCTTTTATTTAATAGTAGATTTTATCGAAACCTTTCATTTGTGCCATCGTGAGTACCAAACTTTCAAAAAATTCACAGTTCAAATCCAAAATGACGATTTCTGTTGGTTTGACTCCCAAAAACGTCAGTTGAATCCCAAAATAAAAACTTCATTATTTTCCCAATTAAGGCATGTGCATTTTGGACTAATCACACTTCCCCAAATAATAGCAGACTTTGCCCAAAGGGTTTGGTATTAAAGAAGAAATGGGCTTTTGTGTGAGAAAAAGGGTTTGGTGTTGAGGTGATTTTATGTCGAGAATTTCTTTTTTGGATGCTGTTTTTGGGTCTTCATTGAAGCTTTGTTTCTCTGGTTCTCCCGCTTCGACTGCTCTCTATATGGAACAATCCATCTTCTGTGCGCTCTAGAAGAGAACCCTCCTTTTTTCTCCATTTCTTTCGATGCGTTTGAGGCCCAAAAGGTGAAACTTCTTTCTTAATCCCTTGTGGGTTATATTTCTTGTGAATTTTGGAGGTTTTAATGATGGATCTGATTTTTTTTTTTTTCTATTTTTGTGGATTCTGTCTTGCATGACTTGTTCTGGAGTAGAGAATTTTGTGGGATTTCACATAAAGAGATTAAATTTGTTCTTGCTCTTAAGAGGTCCTCTAAATTAATGCTCCTTAAAATTGGTGATGCCGGTGTTGGGTGGGTAGTGGAGGCTGCCGACGGTGACGGTTGGGTGGAGTGGTTTTGGTTTTGGGGAAGAAGAAGATGGGGATGAGTTGTGGTTTTATTATTTGTTTATTTTTGATTTAAATATGGAAAATGTGATTTGTCCAAAATGCCTTTGCATTATTTGAGGAAAATAATGATTTTTTTTTTAATTTAGGAAGTTAACTAAGGGCCCCGTTTGATAGGCAGTTTTTTCCATGAAAGATGGAAAATAAATTCTA